AAATTGTTGTTAAATTTTTTTTTGCGCTTTTTCTTGTTACTACTCATTTTCTGGTTGCCGAATTTCAATTTCTTATTCTAAAAAATGGAAATATCCCTGTTTTTAGGTGTGTAGCTTTTTTTCCATTTGCTTTGGTTCGTTTTATTGAATAGACAGTAAATATAACTATTGCGCGTCAGTTGTGATGCAGAGCAGGCTTTGTCGGAATCGTAAAATCGAGTTCTCGATTTTTCCGATTTTCCGAATTTTTTTTCGGAAATTTTTTTCCGTCGGAAAATTTTCCGAAAAATATTCGGAAAATTTTTTCTCGAAATAATCATGCTGCGTTCAAAGTGAAGAGGAAATCTCTACTTTGTATAGTTGAAACGGGTGCAACAGTAACCCAAGCGCGGCGAGACCCGCAATCGGTGTCGATTTACGGGGTCTATTTAAGGTGAATTTTTTAAAAATTAATTTTTTTGAATGAAAACATACTTTAATCAGGGTTTTCATTACTTTTTCAACATTTTTTTCGGTTTATACTGTTCTTAATAGACTTCTTTTATTTTTCAGTGATTTTTTACCTTCTCTCACTGAAAACACTTGGTTTTTTTCAGACTTTAGGTCATCAAAAGTTTTTCTTAAAATTGTTGGTTTTGCAGTGAGTAAATTTTCAGACTTTAATACTTTTGTTACTTTTGTTACTTTTTCAATTAATACTTTTGTTACTTTTTGTTACTTGTGCTTGTTCATCTATTGTTTTTCATTTCATTTTTCTGTTTTTTGTTGTTTTTATTGTTTTTGTCAAATAAACTGGTAATTTTTGACTAATTGAAATTCGAGAAAATTCGAGAACTCGATTTTCCGAAAAAAAAGTCGAGAAAAAATTCGAGAACAAGATTTTCCGAATTTGTTTTTCCGAACAAGCCTGATGCAGAGTACGCAATTGTTGATTACCGGAGCCACTAGAAGCCTCCTGAAAATCCCGAAATTCAGGGAAAATTCAGAGAAAAGTTTTTTTTTTGAAAAATTAGCATTATTTATTGAAAAAAGGCAAAAACAGTATTTTTTTGGCATGAAAATTCTTATAGAACATTTAGTAAAGCAGATAAAAACAGAAAGATTAGGCCTAGCCTAATATTAGGGAATTTCATCAATGGTAAAATTATTATCTTGTCAAATCGAGCAATCTCTTGTAAAGCTCCGCCCACAATTCCGGCTCGTACATCTTGGGATCTTCTGGAAAAACCGAGCGAAGCTCAGTGACAGTGCTCATGTCGGAAATGCACATGCTCTGAAAATCAATAAAAATTTGACTGAAAATTCTGTCAAAAAATCTTACGGAAAGCTTGTTCAATTTATGTTTCAACGCGATTTCGAATTTCATCTTCAACGATCGATCGGACGTTTTGATGAGAAATTTGAGACAATTGGTTCGCGCGGTCTTCGATTCGAACATACCCGCCAAATTCAAAATTTCCTCTACTGTATCGTCATTCAGAGCTTCGATTTCTCCGTATAACACTTCTAGAAACTTTTGAAGATCGTATGCATCAACATCCTTTAGTTCGATTTCAGCTTTTTCAGAATTTTCAGGTTCTTCCGACTTTACAGAAAACATTGTCTTGAAATATGTCGAATGCAAGGATAGATACATTTTATTGACGTAAAACTTCTGATTTTCAGCCACCAAGACGACATCTGAAAACTCTTTTGCCGCGTCATCATCGAAATTTCTGAGAATCGGACGAACGATTCCAATAGTTCCTATAATGAGAACTTGCACTTCAATCTCGAATTTTCCATCAATCATGTATTCTTCCTTTGCGTTTTCATACAAAAATCGCAGAGAGCAGCATCCCGGAAGCGAATCATTCTCAAGTACATAGTTTTCGGTTTTTTCAAACAATTTTCCGTCCTTTTTCGGGATTTTCCATTTAATCTCACTATTAATTCGCCATGTCTTTTTTCCACAGAATCTTAGGCATTCCAGGAAAACTTTGAACATTGATCTTTCTCGCGAAATTCGAATTCTCCTGAAACATATGTTTTTTCCAAAAATTCTCCGTTTAAATTCTCTTACCATGGCGCTCCAAAGTGCTTCTTTGTTTCCCCACAAAAGGAGGTTTTTTCGTTTGATTCTAACATTAAAAAATTGTCGAAGACGTGTTTCATTACGAAACTTTCCTGATCCACTGACATTTTTAGTTGTTTTGTTTTCTAAAAAATTAGGTTGAAAAGCATAAAATTCGATAAAGGAAAATATAGAGAAATGAGCAAACAATCTGGCAGTTCAATAATAAAAATAGTGGGCAATTCATTTAACAAAACAAAAAAAATTCAAATCTATTCCCGACTTTCGTATTCCATCGCTTTTTCAGGCATTTTCTTAGACAACAAACCCTGAAAATTGTGTCGAAAAAAAGCGAAAAAATGAGCTTTTTTGATGGCAAATCGCAGTGTTTGCGTAATGCACACGATCTGACGGCAGTTCTCACAGTTTCAGAAAACCGTAATCTTCTAGAAATTCATCGAGAATTTCATTTTACAATAAGCAAGACTTTCTCGAACGTTCTACTACTTATAAAATTGAAATTGAATTTTTAGGATTTTTCAGGAAAATAATTATTTAAATTTTCATTGTTTTTTAGGCAAAATGACTGACACCGACACCGAACAATTCCGCTCGGAATTGCTCGAAAAGATTCAGAGCCTTGAAGCGAAACAAAACGAAAATGTAGACAAAATTTTGGAAAAACTGGAGTCGTTGGAGAAAACTACGGATGTTAATAACAATTCCATTGAATTGAAGAAGTCGGAAAACGTAATTTTTTTGGAAATTTTGAAAATTCATTTTTTCCCAGTTTTCAGAACTCCGGAAAAGGATTCATGCTGACTCATGTCTTCAAGAATATCCCAGAAATCGAAGAAAATAAAGATTACAATTCTGACACCGAGGAATATTTCAATGTTCCATGGAAATTCAGCATCACCAAACAAGACAAAAGAATCGGATTTCTTCTTTTTTGCGAAAAATCGAAAAGCACTGAAAATTGGCTTATCGATACAGAGTACGAGCTGAAATTCAGAATTCCATCTGGAAGAAGTGTTGAAATTCGAAAATTCGAGCGTCGCTTCGAAAATTCTGTTGACGGAGGCTGGGGAAGTAAGGAGTGTATGGAATGGGATCAGCTAGAGAAAGAATTCATTCATGATGGTTCTCTGATTGTTGAAGTTTCTGTGAAAATCAAGAAGATGGATGGAACCTATCAGAAGACCTCGAAACGAAGCTTCAGTGAACCTAAATTTTCGGATGCTGTGTTGATTTCTGGAGATCAAAAGTTCTATGTTCCGAAATTGGTAAGCCATTATTTTTCTACTTGGCGTCCAAAATTCCCCGTATAATTTCCAGTTCCTCGCTTCCCAGTCGACCTATTTCGATGCTCTGTTCCACGGGCAGTTCCAAGAATCCAAAATGGCTGAAATCACTCTCACTGATATCGATTCAGATGATTTTCAGAACTTTCTGGAGCTTCTTCACGGAGAACCAGCTATTGATGAGGATACGGTTGAAGGAATTCTTTTGTTGGCTGATATGTATGATTCGAAAACTGCCATCGAGCGCTGTGAAGATTTTTTGTTGAATTTCTCGAAAAAGACGATGAAGAAGAAGTTGGAAATGTCGCAAAGATACAATTTGAACAAGTTGAAAAAGCATTGCCTGGACAGTTTGAAGACTGTGAAGGATATTGAATCGGTCCTGTTCTCGGATATCCTGCAAATGGATCCAGCGATCGTCGCCGCCCTTTTCAGTAAATGCATTTTCTTCTACAATAAAGAAAAAGAAGAACAGCAAAAGCAACAAGTAGCCTGAGTTACCCAGGTTATTGTCATAAATAATTGATTCAATTAGTTACCCTAAACATCTCAATTAATCTCACTTGTTACAACTTTTGTTATCAATAAAATTCATGTTGTTGTTCATTAAAAGAGGCGAGACAGCAAAAATTTCGGGGGACGAAATCGCGCCGCGCTTATGTAGACCATCGGTCGTCAGGCGCCTTCGCGCCCCCGTAGCTCAGCCGGTAGCGGCGCTGTACCCCTGAGCTGCCTGTAATGAGTTAAATGCGTGTGAATTTTAATAAAATTTATAAGGATAATCACGTATTTTCCAAGAAAAACTGAGTTTCTCAAATCAAAAAACTACAAAAAAAAAACATTACTCTCGTCCGAAATCAATGCACTTTGCGGCCGAAAATTTACTCAAAATCGCATCGTCGGTCGCACAGCGAAAAAACAAATTGATGCATGCGCCTTTAAATACCGTACCTCGGACGTTTTTTTATTTTGGACCCTATTTGGCTGTTTTTCTCTATTTTATAAGAAAAATCAATTAAAGATTTATAAGAATTACACAAATTTAGACAGAAACAAGCGAAAAAATGAGAGAAGTTTGAGAAAATTCGATAAATGTTGTGGTACTGTATTAAAGGCGCGTGCAATAATTTGAAAAATACAGTAAGGTTCTCTCTGTGGGAGCTAAGCTCCGCCCACCTTTGTTTTCTCGGCCGCAACGTGCATTGATTTCGGACAAGAGTAATATTTTCCTCACTTAACTATTCGCGCGGGGGTCAACGGGGAGCCGCGGGGGGTGAGCCCCCCGGGTGGGTGCGGGCGGGTGAATCGCCCCCCAAATGGAAACCCTAATTGGCGCAGCTTGTGATTTCGGAGCACTTCCATTTTTGAGTGGCGATTGAAATAACTGTTGATATCATTTTGGATTGAGTGGCCAACAATAGAAAGTATGTCCGCTTCAGTTCTTCTCGTTCCAAAGATCTCCATAAAGACCCTGAAAATGGTAACATTCATTTGGCATGTTTCTAGAACAATTACCTCCGGTGTTTGTATCCTCTGTGTGAACGCCATCATATTCAAAAAATTTTCGTATTGTCAGAATAAAAAAAAGTGAGACTCGGTGTTTGCGTACTTTGATTCCCGCCTCCCCCCACCGACGCTCCGCCCATCGCTTTGCAAGTGCGGCGTGGTGTTTTGGCGCCACTTGGGAGATCATCGGATTTAATGAGATTTTCATAGAAAGTAATCCAGATCAGCTTACAATCTCATTTTCATCAAAATTTCTAAATTCGGTTTAGATAACGACATTAAACATGAAAAAATACATTTTGTGGGCGGACCCATGTCAATAAACAATGGACTCGTTTCCGAGAAATTTAGGACCAGAAAATTTATTTCAAAAACTGTAAAAATACGGGCAAACTACGAAAAAACGACGAAAACAAAAATAAATAAATTTGAACTAGCCGAATCTAGCTAGTTTCTAATTAGGTCCGCTCATTCGCGCATTAGAAAAAAACAAATCTATCTAGATTCGCAAATATCGACTGGCCGTACCGAATCTAACTAGATCCATATTATATGTGATTATTTTGTAATTTTGCTACTACAATCTATTTAGATATGGCATTCCTAGTTAGATGTGCAAATCACCTAATTAGCCGTGGTTTTTCTAATGAGAGCTAATTAGACGTGAAACGATTTCCCTGAGCAAGCAGTTCTTCCCGGAAAACCTGAAGATATGGATTCGTCGATTTTGGCCGAACTTCTCGAAAAATCGATTTCTTCTCATAATTCTTAATTTCATCTTGAAATTTTTTGTTAACACTCATTTTGAAACATTGTTGAAGCATTTTTTCTTTACTTACTGTAATTTTGTTCCTTAAATAGGTGATCTACTGGAACATCTGATAAATAATTGTTAACAGAACGTCATTCAAAATATTATATTTAATACTTTACACATAAATAAATATGCCCATTTTCTGTCATTTTTCGCAAAATTGGAAAAAAAAAATAAGCCGAATTTTTTCTTCTATAAATGATATAATCGGGGTCAGAAAGCCTGCCTGCATTCAAATCTTATCTTTGAAAAAAAACCACATTTTTGTATTTTCAACAATAACTGAAAAAAGATATCAAAATTAACAAAAAATGACAACAAGAAATTGGGTAAAACGACTGGGGATAAAACTTGGATTATGGTAATTTTTCAGTCCTTTTCTGTTTTTTCTGAACTTTCTGAGTGAGACCCCGCCCTTTTGCAGCCTTCCGCATGCTTTTTCGCAAAAATGCTGCACGCTCCCGTTTCTCCCGTTTCGTTTCCTCCCGTTTCGTTTTCCTCCGACCGAGAAATCCTTGTACGGTCTCGGCGTATTCAATTTCTAGCCAATTTTGAAGTTAATCTGTTGATTTGTTGTTCTGATTATTTTTTTTCTGTATTTTCATGAATAATTTTTTTTAGAAAAAAACATCGAAAATATTATCGCTGTCTGAAAAAATGAAGGTTGAGATGCAGAGAAAAAAGTCTGCGTCTTCACCTAATATGTGCTATTTAGGTATCGCTACCGTATTCAGGCTGCAAAAAATACTCTCTAATTTTCATTTTTTTCAGACAGCGATAATACTGTAAGGTTCCGCTTTCAAAAAACAAGTTTATTTTCGAACAATATAAAAATCTTAAAAAAAAACAAAAAAAAATTCAAATTTAAAAAACTGCTTAAATCGAATGATTACTGTAGAAATGCGACATAAAATCGTACTTATTTCCGCTCTCTTGACCACAAAATGCACATTCGAAGGGGTGGAATTGAGAATGAGTCGTTTTATGGATCAGGTACATTTTGACATCGTTGAAATCGATTTCACACTGGGGACACTTCTGGAATAAAATTGAAAAAATTTTGGGAATTTTCAATAGAGCGCATTTACCGTTTCAAGGTCAATAGGAGAATCTGGAATTTCTAATTTGATGTCTTCGAGTGATGGCTTTTGTTCTGGAATTTCTTGCTCTGCAATCTCGGTGCCAGAAACCTTTAAAAAATCGATAATTAACTCAATAACTCAAATTTCCTCTTACATTTTTATGTTCTATGAGAAAATGACAAATCATCAAATACGATTTTTCGTACTTCAAATGACACATTTTGCATTTCGATGAGATTCTATACGACATTCCGTGTAGCTCGTCCAAATGATTCTTCAGCTCAATAAAATTATCGAATTTCTGATCACAAAACTCTACAGGGCACACGAATTCTGTTGGTTTGGGTTCGATTCTCGGACGAACAATAGTGGTTCCCTGGAAAAAATCAATATTTTTACATTGAAAACTTTTTGAATTTGTTCACACTTGAAAACAATCTTTAAAAAAGTGATTAACCATTCCGAACGCATTTTCGAATTTTTCATCACACAATTTGCATTGAAACGGCGATACTTCGTGGTGTTGATCCAGATGAATTTCTACATTTTTCAGACCTTCGAACTTCAAACAACAGTCTTTTATGGGGCATTCCACTTCCTTTTGGTGCTCAAAATGGGACCATAGATGAGCTCTCGCCTGAAAATACGCTCTATCGATTATCTGAGCAAGTGTGCTCTATCGAAATTACTCTAGCCCGATTTCGATAAGACTTGTGACAATAGCGACACTTGAAAAAAGCTCTCAAAATATTATGAAACTTTTTGTGGCGATGCAGATTTTTCTGAAAATCGATAATAGATTGGAGTCATAGCACTAAAAAAATTCTCACTGTCGATTTGAATGATTTAGGACAGTATTGACATTCGTAGATGCGTTCGAAACCCGCTGGATTTCCAGAGCCGCTGTTAAGGAGGAGATCGTCTTGGTGATCGCTCATTCTGTGGGATTTTCTGGGAAAAAGCATTTTTGAACGTAAAAAAACAGAAATTGGGTTTATGTTCAAAACTACAGTACCTTAAAGGAACATACAAAAATTTTGTCGCCTGATTATTACCAAACTCTTGTGAATCACAGAAAACAAACGGCGAGAGTTTGTTTTTCAGATTTTCCTATTAAAAAATAGCGAATATTCGGTATTTTTTCGACCTTTTTCCTCAGATTTTCGCTAAAATTTCGGCTGACAGCCTGAAAGTGAAGAAAACATTTCAAAATCTACAGTACCTTCAAGGAGTATGCGCAAAATTGTGGTTTTGGTTCTTACCAGGAATAAACTACAGTACCTTAGCGGCGAGGAAATTGTTTCTTGTCTCCGGTGTTTTGCTCAATTTTTCTCAGTTTTCTTCGAATTTTCGCTATTTTTTCGAGATTTTTTCGGTATCTTCGTAGAAAAATGAAAAATGAATTAATTTTTCCGGATGTTTCCGCTAATTTATGCTTCGATTTTTCGTTTTTTATACAAAAAACTTGTTTTTGGCGAAATTTGAATTTTACAGATAAAGCCGAAACAGCTCGAAATATGATAACTGAAGTGATCTCTTACAAAAGTGGTCAGAAGGTAGTGAATACTACAGCGACCGAGTTGGAAACAGTCGAAAAGGATGGCATCAAACAGTGAGTAAAATAACATAGTTTCGATAAAATTCTATTCATGATCTTCTAGCACTTGGAACGGATGGGTCGATACTTTCAATCATAGCGCAAATTTCACCTGGAAGATTGATTGGGAAGCATTGAAAAGCCAAGGAGCCGTTCGACTTGATGGACATTTGATCGTCAATTCTGTTAATGGTTATTGGAATCCACATAGAGTTGATATCAATTTGACGGACACAAATCAATCAGTCTTTACAATTGTCGGATCCCGTTACACGGCCTATAGTATCACTTTTGAATACAATCTAACTGCTCACTTCGTCCCTAGACCCAAAAGGATTTCTTATGATGACATGTTCGCGGCTTCCGATAAGACCGATGTGATTCTTATTGTTGAGGGAAAGAAGCTGAATGTTAACAGAACGGTAAATCTCCGTTTCTTCTAGAATATTCTTAAATTCCATATTTTCCAGTTCCTCTCCTTCCACTCCGACTATTTCACGACTCTTTTCTCGGCGAACTTCAAAGAAGGGCAAATGAAAGAAATCGAAATCAAAGAAGTTTCCTATGAAGATTTCGGACTTCTTCTCTCTAGTATCTATCCAAATCCACAGTTTCCGAATGGTAGACATTTATCGATTTTTTACGGCAAAAATCTCAATAACATTTCAGATAGTACTGTCGAGAAGCTTCTCGAGATGTCTAGCCGTTTCCAAGTGCAATCGGTTATCGGAATCGTGGAATATCATCTTCTCTACATTTCAAGAATCGGATATGAGAAAATGATGTGGTTGGCCGATGAGTACGTAATGCCAACACTTCTAGAAAAGTGTATCAGCCAGATGAATTCACTGGAAAAGGCTAAAAAATTGGAAAAATCTCCGGAATTCGAGAAATTGTCGGTTAATACCAGATCGCTGCTTTTCGGACGTCTTTTGAAAGCTCTCTGAATTTTTCTGCACTTTCTTTCATTTTTAAATAAAATTGTTGATCTAATTTTTATGGTTTGCTAAAGGAGGCCAGACACGAAAGTCTACGGGGTTTTCTCGGGGCGAGATCATGTATTCTGACGGAAAATCGTGCGATTGCGACCAATGCGCGCTACTTGATGAGCATTTATTTTTTTTAGAATACACTAGATTTCTTTACTGTTTACTTTTTCCCGACTTTTTCGCGTTATTCGTCCATTCTAGGATGTCGCCGCATGAAAACAGAAAAGAAAACGAAAACTCACATACGGGAGTCGAACCCGCGATGCACGACTGATAGACAAGCACGCTCACCTTCACACTACACAGCGCTTGTCGGCTTCTACCTCTAAAACGATTATGAAACGAGGAGTGGGCGCCGCTTGGAAGAACGGTCGCGTTCTCGCTTGTACAGTAACAAGGAGTTATGGTTTTGTGTCCATTGTTATTTTCTGACTGTACTGTGGCATATATAAAAAAAAATAGATTTTTGAAAAAACTTTAAATTTGTTAAACTAAAAACTAATTTTTGTCAATTTTTTTACAAATTCTCCGAAAATCCGAAACTATCGAATGTTCATTCCGATCATTTCTGTTTTCAGAGCGCTACAATCTACTCGACTTTGGATAGTATTTCAACTCAAAGAAACTAAAATAATGATATTTATAGAAGTAGAGCAAGATCTGCAATAAAAAGACTATGAGAAATGATAAAACTTTCAGAACACATGCTTCTAGATTAAAAATGACAACAAAAACATAATGTGCTACATGAAATTAAGAATTATGAAAAGAAATCGCCATTTCGAGAAGTTCGGCCAAAATCGACGAATCCATATCTTGAGGTTTTCTGGGACGAACCGCTTCGATATCTTCAATCGTTTCTATTTTTGACATGCAGGATTCCTGAATTTTTTTAATTGAAAAAAAAATTAATTGCTTTTTTTAAAAATTACTTTCAAAGCCTTCATCCACTTATTCAAAAAAAAATTGCTTCTTCGCCGCTGGACCCCGATGCGCCTTTAAACTGTACTTTTGGCATGGCTGTCAGACTACAGTAATAGAAATCTGCATTTCATTTAATCTTGCGTCAAAATTTCTAGTTTTTTTTTTTTTTTAATTTCTACGTTCAAACATCAAATTCACGATTAGTTTCTTTTTTCGAAAAAAAAAGAAAACTTTTATTAATATTATCATCGTTATTATGCTCAGAAAGATTGACATTAGAACAATTGTAAAACACAAAAAAGTACGAAATTTATCGATTTTTCGAATTCTCGAATCTCTTCCACCACTCATCATCATTCTCCTTATCATTCTCCTCATCTGAATCGATTTCCACAATGAACCTCTTCTGCTTCTTTCTCGGTGGCTCTTCTGAATTTTTTCGAGAAAATTCGAAAATCGGCTGATTCTCCTTGTCTTCATTGCTCATTTCCTTCAAAATCTCCGTATAAAAATTGCTATGCGTCGCTAGAATTCGAAGATTTGGCTCCACTCGTTCTTTGATGTTTTTATAGATTTTTTGAGTTTTCAGCAGGTCGTTTTGCTTATTTTTCGCCAATTCGTAGAAATTCGACGCGTCGATTTGACGATTTCCGGTGAGAAGCAGCGAGAAGAAGCCGTGCTTGGACATGAGGAAATCTGGAAATTCTGGAATTTTGAAATTATAATATTGTCTATTCAAATAAAACGTGGGCGCGCCGCAGGTTGCAAAGTGACACGCCTTTTTTTGGAACGCGTTCCCTTTTCCCTCTTCTCACGCGTTTCATAAAGGGGCGTGTCACTTTTCAATCTGATCAATTTTCTGGGGATTTGGAAATTTCCAGGTTACTGCAGCCTTTTTAAGGTAAATATGTCATGTTTATACTCATTTTGAAGCTCTGAACAAGCTAAAGACGATTTTAAGGTCAATAATATGAAAACTGGAATGTGACATTCAGAAAGTAGTTTTTGAAATTCAAAAAAATCTGTTGTAAAGTAAATTATTATCAGTTTTCTCTTTTCTCTTTTTTTTTCTCACTTCTCCCCAAAAAACACTATTTTCTCAGAAAAGGACAGATGTTCGTTGATGTAAACAAAGCAAGCGAAATAGTATACACTTCAGAGAGAGTACCAGAGAAACAGACAATGTCGATGGCTCCTCTCCCCCACCATTTTCCTTTGTTTTATACCCATTTCCTCGCTTTTTTCTCATTTCTGTCCAACAAAGAAAATGACCCTCACCTCCCATGATTTTGCTATTCATTATCTGGAAATTGTGATAAAACGACTGGTAGAAGATCAAGGATTCAATTTTATCTCTCCTGGAGCAATCAAAAAATTAGCTGGAATTTTAAGGGGGATATTAGAAAAATATGGAGAAACTACAAGGATATTCATGGAACATGGCGAGTTTGGGAAGAGCGCGGACATTCGGACACACAGACATTTTTTTCAGCGGGAAGAACGAAACCAATTGTTGAGGATGCGGTTGCTGTTCTGAAATTGAAAAAAGTGGATATTCGAGAAGTTAGAGATTATGCAAAACTTGCGACACCAGAAATGGTTGGGATGGTGAGTCGAATTATTAGAATCTCTGGAAATCTGAACTTTTGAATCTTTGGAAATATTAATTTTCAATATTTGGCAGTCTGAATATCAAAATATCAAAATCTCTAAATATCAGAACTATAAAATATCGAAATCTAGCAGAATCATAGTTCTAAAATTTCAAAATTCTTTAAAAATTATAAATGTAAAATTAAAAAAAAAAGAGACCCAGGACCGAGGACCCAGGGATCTTTATATTCTAATGATAAAAACTCTAAAAATTAGAATTTCAAAATATCAAAACTTCTAAAAATAAGATAATTCAACTTGAAATTTTTTTTCAGAAATATTCGGCTCGTTTCGATGGATCAATTGTGGCACCCGGCGATGATAAACCTTTTGAAAACTGAGAAAAAATACCAATTCTAAAAAAGATTTTATTCAAAGACGAAAGAAGCAAACCACTGATTATTTGTTATCATTTTTATTCAAATAAATATTTCTGGTGCGTAAGTATGAAAGTATTCCAATACTCACTCTTCTCCGAGTGCCTCCCGATTCGGATTCCAGAGCTTTATTTGGTTTTTCAAGAAATTGGCTGGTTTGGAAGAATGTTTCCATGGCAGTTGTGAATTGATTCTGTTTTTTTCATGCGGCATTGTCGACCGAACCATTCCTTAATCTGAAAGATTATAATAATGAAAATTGAAAATTCAACGATATAAAGCTCACTTTTAGAATCGACCAGTGAATTTTTCCTTTTAATTCGACATTTTGGTAATCGGAAAACGATGGATCTTTAACTAAAATCTCCATAAGAATTGGTTCGGCGTTTTCGTAAGAGAGTGGAGAGTCCACGATCCCATTTTGATACAGGGATGTCTAGTATGGAAAATGAGAGAGAGGGTTCTATTGTCGAATTTAAAAAGTGACACCTGAGAATTTGAAAACGTTTTCTTTTTTTGATCTACGAAAAAGTGCGGCAAAAACGTAATATTTCAGAATTTCGGCTTGTTCGAGATACTTTCGTGTTTAATTTTAGTTTTTTGCTGAAAAATAGATTCTAGGGATGCTAGCGATCATTTTTATATCAAGAAATCAAAATTTTGTTCAGAAAATCCCACTAAATTCACATAAATAAATTTGTTATCTACAGTATCCGTTTTCGCTCCCCCTCGTAAATCGACACGAGTGCCGTCTCCGAGATTTTCAGGTGTCACTTTTTTTAATCCGACAATAGACAGTAAAGAGAGAGTGTGGTGGAGAAAAGAGAGTGCTAGAGAACCTGTTAGCCAGAAGGGTGACTATTCTAAGCCGGAGACGCAGACACTGTTACCCCACTTTTTATCCTCCATAAGACAAGTATATGTCAGGACAAGGATAAATGCGCATTCCGTAAACCCTCTAACCGATGCGGCCTCTAACTTATAACTTTGAGCCGATATATGATGATTCCCGTAATAGATAATAAAACACTGTCAACTGATAAATTGTTTATCATAATGACAGCAATATTTCATCAGTTAAAACATTTTTGACATCTTGATCAGGAAACAAGATAATTGAGCTCAAACTTGAGGGCCCTTCTATTACAGGTTTACGGTAACTACTAAAACTAGAAGATCTCGCTTTGAAACGGATGTCTTTTTGGTTTTTGCTTTCTGGGTTTTTTTTCGAGAAATCCCAAGTTCTATAAAAAATCCAAGGTTCTGAAATCATGAAGTTCTGAATATCGGAAGTCGGAAAAGTTGAAGACTATGAAGAATTATAACACTTTTATGTTTTTTTCTCTTCATATTTATTAAAATCCAAAAAAAATTACACAAGAAAAGATTTAATTCAATACATAGAAAGTGTAGATATGTTTCTGGAAAAGAGATTTTAAAAAAGATGGAACGCAGAACATGAACAACGAAAGATCGGTAATGTATCGGAAAGGGGAAGAAAATGAGGAAAGGAGGAGAAGAGATCGCTAAATTTATGTAACAAGCTTTTTATTGAAATCTTTTAGCTTCTTAATTTCTTGGCAAATAATCAAGAATTGATCCCAATTGATAATAGGATTCAATTTTTCTTCAAAGAATTTCTTTTGGTCTGGTTGGAACCTGGAAAAGCCGGTCCGGACCTTCTCTACCAGTCTTTTGGTCGTTGCTGGTTTAAACAGTTGACAGAAGAACTCCATTATTTGTAACTTCTGAAAAGAAGATGTTTTTGTGATAAAATTGAAAGTTGATAGCTTTAACGAACTTACCGACCATCGTAGATTATCCGTGGAGCAATTAAATGGCAGTGTCAGATTCTCCAAGTCCAACCTGCTCTTGTTCTCGGACATCTCCGTTTTCCTGGCGAATCCTATCTCCGGGAATCCAATAATATCGCGAATATCAGGTTGGATATCCTCCATTGTCGCTTGAATTCTTACAATTGACACGGGCCCAACAGCATCGACATCCTGCGAGGCACCCAGATCAATAACGTCGAATACCACCAGTTCATTTTCCTCATTTTCATCCACAACCTCTTCTTTCACTGGGTTTTCCAGACGTTCAACATTTTTAATGTCAGGGTCAGGATATTCTACTTTGACGTTCACAGGAGCGATCAGGTCAGCTACTGTTTCATCGATTTGTTCAAGAAGTTCTTGGTTGAACAGAGCCTCTTGTGGATTATTGAATCCAATTTCCTCATTTTCAAATTCCACCGCAACGGCTTCTTGGCTGACAGCTGGTTCGACGTCATGTTCTTCATCAATGTGATAGTTCAGTTCCGGTTCAATCTGATATTCTTCATGAGCATCCTGTCTATCTACTGACCCTTCCTCTTGTTCTACGTCTACGACAGGTTCTTGGTGGGCAGCCAGTTGGGCCTCTTGTTCTGTCACTTGCTGTTCAGGGACTTGTTGGTCTACCTCCGGACCCTCCACACGTCCATGATGTTCTTCGACGACTGCAGCCTCTTGATTATCGAATTCAATGTCATCATTTTCAAATTCCAGTTCCCCCGCTTCTCGGTTGACAATAGGTTCTTGGCCCATTTGATTGTTTGGTTCACTTTGATCCACCGGTTCTTCTTCCAGCTCCTCATCAGTATCCTCTTCTGCACCTCTTTTTTCCCCGTGGTCTTCATCTTCTTGGTGAGCATCTAGTTGGAAGCTATGCTCTGAATCCATCTGATAGTCCAAATCCTGCTCAATGTGATCCTCTTCATGAGCATCCTGTTCATCTTCGTATTCCTCCTCTTCCGGTTCCATCTGGACGCCTTCCTTCTCCTTCCGAAGTTTAGCTTGCACACTCTGTCGGTCCATCAAATAATCTGATAGCTGAAAAAAAGCTTTGATATTGATTATCCAATTCTTTCCACTTACATTATAGCCGGAAACATTCTCTTTTTGTTCGATACAACGAACTGCATCGAAGCAGATGGGTCTGTCGTACTTTTTGTAAATCCTCTCAAAATTGGCCATGTCATTAGGCAAGAACGAAGTTTCTTTTGTCAAGTATGCTTCCAGAGTATTTTTCCTTTTGTTTTTAAGCCAAGCTAATATCTGTAAAATAATAATTTCAGCATGTGAAAATATTTGAATGCTTACCTTGTTCCAAGAGGCTCCAGTTTCCACTTCCAAAGCTTCACTTCGAGTTCCAAAATATTGCTGTTTTTGGAAAGCTTTTTCCATGACGTCATTGAAGTGATCAAGTTTCTCTTGCTGATTTGACTTGCGTTGTCGAACGAACCAACTCTCGATCTGTAGGTTTCAATAAATAAAAATTAAATCTCAACGATGCGAAGCTTACTCTTCGGTACGTCCACTGAATCTGATTTTTGAGTTCAACGTTCTTGTAATCATGGACCAGTGGATTTTTCCTAAAAATATCCATGAGAATTGGCTGAGCTTCTTCTTCGGGGAGTGGAGAATCGCCAATCGAAATCCTATTGTGCTTACTTTGGGCCCGGGTGCTTACTTTTGGCCCATTGCTTATCCTATTTTGCTTTCTTCGTTCGTTAAAGAATTTACTAATCTGAAAATTATTGCCTTTCTTTTCGAATCGAAACGAATGTCTTACTCTATGGTACCCCCAGTGAAGTTCATTTTTCAATTCAATATTTTTATAGTCCTTGAATAACGGGTTCTTCTTAAACATTTCCATGAGGATTGGTACAGCTTCCTCTTCAGGGAGTGGAACATGGTCAGCAATCCCATTTTCTTTTCTGCATTTGACGAAGAATTTTGATATCTGAAAAATGTTTCATTTGCTTTCAGAATCGAAATAAATTTCTTACTTTTGCGACCGACCAGCCTGTCTTTTCTCTCAATTCGAAATTTTTGTAATCCCGGAATTGCGGATTTTTTCGAAAGACCTCGAGTAAAATCGGTTCGGCTTCTTCAAGTGGAAGTTTCAGTGGACGTGGAAGTTTCGCATTTGTTTTGGATCTGCGATTCATGAAGTAGTTTCTGACCTGAAAAAGGATGTATCTCTGATTATGTGCATATAGAGTGAACAAACTTACTCGATCTTTCTCCAATTGAAGCTCTGAAGCCAAAGAGGCAATAGTTGCTTTGTCTGGCCTAGGGTTAACCGCAAAAACATCATCCAACTTCGAGGTTTGTTCCTCTGTCAGTTGACGATACTAAAAAACAATTCGAAAAGTTTACATGTTAATAGAAGATAAGTTGATACCTTTAATAATGTTGGATTTTTCCGCCTATTTCTCTCAAACCAGCTTCTTATCTGAAAAAAGTTAATTTCTAGTAAAGGTTAAACATATGTAGTTCTAATTTCAATTGACATTATTGTCAAAATCTGAAAATAAACATTGTATCGTGTTGAATGGATAACACAGCCTACTCTTTAAAACATATCACATTATTCGGGCGTCCCCGTCAACTTCTGGTCGGAGGTTGGTCAGATTCCAGATAATACCGCTTCTGGAGCAGACCAAATTCCGACACACGTATGACAAGGTTTCGACCTATTAATATTTCAATATACAACTTCTGTCCAAAATCTGACCGTAGCCCGCTACAACCGTGTTTCGGCAATTTACGACCAGAACCTGGCCAACCTATTTTCAGAAACCGGAACCTCCAACTTCTGATAAGAAGTTACAAGCCGACAGTCGAGTATAACCAGTACAAGGTGCTCTGAGCACTTGAACCTACTATAAATTCCTTACCTGCTGTCTGGTTAGATCCGCCTTTTCCGCCAACTCTTCTCGCTGCTCCTTCGTTGGGTAATGGTTTTCCTGGAGCGTTGCCAAGAGCAACCGATACTGTTCTTCCGTGAAAATGTTCTTTCTTTTCCGTTTTTGTTTTGAGCCAGTCTCCTGAATCGGTACTTCCGATCGCTCATCTTCTGTTTCGTCCTCGACATCCTAAAATATTTATTTGAACTTAATTCATTTTAATAAAAATAGTAGGCTGGCCAAAACGGCGTTTTCTGGCGCCACACGCCGCTTTTAATTTTTGCACTGGCCGCCTCGCCAGTTTTCAAAGCGGCGTGAATCGCCAGCAAAATTTTTCACAGGCATTAAACGCCGGGTTTTTAAAAGATGTACTTTTCAATAGAAAATACGATTGAAAAAAAAACAACAGATGATCGACCCGAAACAGTCAAATGGAATGAAATTGATATTTTTTGTCCTTCGAAATATTTTATTACTTCTGGAATTCTGTTTGAAATTCTAAAAATCTGATGTCTGAAGCTTTTGAAAAATGTTTTCCGAAATTTCAGAATTTCCGAATTTCAAAATGTCTATGGTTTGTGTGATTTTGAAAATTTATCGATTTCATGAAACTACACTTTCCTGAAAATTTCCAAACTTCGAATTTTCAGGATTCAAGAATTTTTGAGTTTCCTGGAACTTCAGTATTTCCATCGTTTTTCAAAAACTATTGATGAAGTTTCTGTACTGTCATGCTTTACATTTTTGACCGATCAAAAATGTTTTGATTCCTAAATTTTTGAAATTTAAATGTCAAGATCACTAAACTTCGGAGTTTTTTGAAACCTGCATTCTGAAGTCCCGAAAATCGAAGTTTACAACTTTAAATTCTAAAATCCTAAACAAATACTTTTGAAGTAAACCTCGATCCAGACATAATCACGATAACTATTAATGGAAGAATAATGGTAACTTCTCAAATACCAAATTCGTTCCAACATTTTATAATTCCCATTCTTTCCCTCAATTATCTGATTTCTTGTGAAACATATGACAAAACTGTCAACTGCCAAAATGTTTCTATTGACATTTGGAGCATTTTATCAGTTGACCGTTTTCTGCTATCTTTCATAAGAACTGAGATAATCAAGATTGAAGTTACATTGAGGGGATATTAGTGAATCAAAAAGTAAATTCTATTCTCGAAAAGAAATCGGCGTTTGACGCCGGTTTAAATTTTAAACAGGCAAATATTGCCTGCTTAAAAATTTCGCTGGTTTTTAATGTAAATCACGTGAAATTGAAAGGCCCATAGCTCTGGCACTGGCGGCCAGCAACAACCCTAAAAAATAGAATACCGAGAATTCAGAGTCCGATTCCATTTCTGAAGATGACGAGGATGAAGAAAGAGGATCTTTAGTGCGTCTTGCCACCTAAAAACTCATTTTTGAAAAACAGAACATTTTCCAGAGAAACTGTACAGGAATATCTTCTTCCGAGTCCGATTCTGACGAATCGATGATTCTCCTTCTTTTTGGATTGGTTGCTTCTTGGACAGCCTTGCGGGGTCTTCCTCTTCCACGGGATGTCTGTAAAATAAGGATAATGAGCCTTCAAGACCCCTTGGGAAATAAAAAACTCACAGAGGCATGGTCTTGAGAAGAAAGAACTTGCTTCTTGGTGTAAACCATCTTGTTTAGGTGCTGAAAATTAATCTGAAAATTAAAATGAATTGAGTGAAAAAAGAAGTCGAGCTTATTAGGTTGAAATAAAGGAAAATTCAAAAAAAAAAACAGCGAAACCAATAATTTCTGACATGTATGTAAAAAAAATATACCTTTACACATTCATAGCGTTATTTTGAGCCAAGATAGAAACTTTTGAGAACTTAAAAATATTTGAAGCTTTTTAAAGGTGGGGGGACATGAAAAAATAATGTTCTCGAAATTTCGTTTAAATATGCCCCTCGAGGAGTTGAACTTGTTGGGGCGATGTTTGAGGGTGCGGCGCCGCTACCGACTGAGCCACGCGGGCAAAGAGAAAGCGCACGCCCGTTTGCATACATAAAGGCGAGGGCGACAGCTGTACGCAGAGTGACATTAAGCGTTGTACACCGTCACGGTAGAATGCATACTCTGGCCCCAAAAATCCCCCGTAAAATCTCCTGTCTCCCCACCTTTAAAACATTTCAGAAATGAATAAATAAACTTATTTCACAGATTAGAAAAATGTCCGGAACTTTATGAGAATTATTTTAGAGACTTTTTAGATGCGAAATGTTTCCATTGGCCATAGTTTCTTAGATGTGTGGTTTTGAACTTAAAAAATTGAAACGACGGGAAGAGAGATGCGAGACCCTAGCTGTCAGCATTTCTATCTCAAGAACCAAAGAACCCTATCGAAACCATTTTCTACTTTCCGAAATTAAAAAAAAACATTTGAAATTGGGTAATTTTTTGCTAATACGTAGGAAAAGAAAGTTTAAAAAAAAGGTAATTTGAAGGACTGTGGGGGAAGAAAGACGGTGGAGGACCAGTGCTGTTTGTGGGTGAGAATGACGACATTGGACGTGAAGACGGGAGATATTAGAGGAAAATTTTTCAGGAATCCTCTGCGCAACCGCACTGGCAAGATGACAGAGTTTTTTTGAGGTCTGGAAACCTAGTCTCCCGCGATTTCGGTCTTGATTTTATTCAATAAAACCTCATTTTTTATAGTTTTCTAATATTTTCTGCAAAAAAACCGAAGAAAAACTATGAAAAATAAAGTTTTGATGAAGAAAATCAAGCGAAAAACTGTTTTAAAATTCAAATACCACCGCCGGCGTCCCCGGCCGAAGTCGCGGGGGACTAGGTTTCCAGGGGAAGACGCGAAGACGCAGACGAACAGCGGCCCGCATGCGGCCGATGTCTACCACGCAGATGTGCAACATGTTCTCCCTCATCGCTGTACCTTCTCAAAGAGACGGACTAGCGTTGGAAACCTGCGGAAAATTACATCAGTCTGAATGTAATACGCTGGTTGTGCCTATGGGGCTTGTCAATACCACGCAAAGTGACCTACAAACAAAGTGATTCACAGACAAAGAAACTATTGAAACCTAATTTATCGTATGAAAAACATAGGAAACCACAATGTATGCAAAAAAAGGAACAGAAAGTGCATGAAAAACTATTAAACTACCGTGTCCCCCTTCAGTAGAACCCCACCCAAAACGTCAAGTTTTTGATTCCATTCATCTCATTTCCTGTAATAGATATCAAAAAGTGGTCAACTGACAAAATGTTTATCATAACTTAAAAAATATTTTATCAGCTGACCACTTTTTGATATCTTTTACTGAAATTGAGATAAACGAGTTCAAAGTTGATGGTTCACTATTAGAGGAAACAGGGTGACATAATTTGCTGGTTCTTGAATACTCTATGGCTAGTTATATCTCCCTTCAGTAGAACTATTGCATGTAATACGGTAACATGGTTTTGACTGTTATCATCCAGAGGAACAGTTGACAAAAAATAAAAAAAAAAACGATTGGGATGTTTCTGACAATTCCAGACAGATCTACAAGGCATTTGAGTTTTCATGAAAACTCGGAAATTTTCAAATTATAGATTTCAAAATACCAGCTAAAATTCTCACAAAAATCCAAAAAGATCTCAAAAAATAACAAAAGTTTATATACAAATTTAGTACTTATTAATTATCAAAATGTTCACACAAATAATACAAATAAACGAAATAATAAACTGAATTAGAATAGGTTATTGATTAAAACCAAACTGGCAAATCTCTGACTCCATAATTCTCCTGACCTCTTCGAATTGGTCTTCCACTGGTTCTGGGATACTCGATGCGTGGAGAAATACTTATATCCTGTTGTGCTCGTGGAGCATTATTAGTTGGAATGGTCGAGGGAGCTCTAGGGGCTGAAATTGGCTGTGGAACCATATTTGAGTGGTCCCGAGGCATTGGAGTGGGTGGATGGAAGTTGGAAGATGCGTAAGAAGACGTGGAGGGTTGTGATGTCATGTTGAAGGAGCGTTGTCGCATTGGAGATGATAGTTGAGAATCGGGGAGCCCAAAGGAAGAAGACGTGCCTTCCGACATTTGAGTAGCCGTTCTTTTACGAGGATGAAATTTGTAGTTTGGATGCAGATGGAATTCCTGGAATTGATAATGTTTTGAAATTAAATTTTAAAAGTTCATTTTTGTTTATTCTAGGTGTGCCAAGACACATACCGTAAACACTCTAATAGAACGCCATCCGAACAACTTTAAGTATATATATCTCACTTCTTTTGAAAGATGTCAAAATAAAATGTTTATCATGATATCAGCAAAATTTTATTAGTTAACCACTTTTTGATATCTCTCACAGAAAATAAGATAAATGGGCTCAAAACTGACGATTCGGGAGGCATTCTGTTAGAGTGTTTACGGTAATTCAGAGGGTACCACCATTCGGGTGTACAATTGAGTACAAAGTGATTTAGGGGTGCACAACTCGGGGGTAAACATTTTGATTTTTCATGTATTTTGTAACCTGTGTACCCAAATGACCCCAAAAGTTTTGTACTCACTGAATTATTTGCCGTGTCCTAACTTCAACCCCATTTATCAATGTTCATGTGCAAGCTATCAATAAATAGTCGACTGATAAAATGCATATCAGATTATCAAAAAAATTTTCTCAGTTGACATCATTTTGATATCTCTCACAGAAAAAGGGAAAACGAGTACAAGTTGATGGCTAATTCAACTACCGTAAAACGTAAATGTCAAGTTTCAGCTCAATTATATCGCGACTCCTTTGCAAAATACCGTAAAACCTCTAATAGAACGACACCCGGATCGTCCACTTTGAGCCTATATATCTCATTTTCTGCAAAAGATATCAAAAAGTGGCTAACTAGTAAAATGTTGCTGATATCCTGATAAACATTTTACTAGTTAACCACTTTTTGATATCTTTCAAAAGAAGTGAGATATATAGGCTCAAAGTGGACGATCCGGGTGTCGTTCTATTAGAGGTTTTACGGTATCAAAATTGTATCAACTAACAAAACATTTATGATATTATGATAAATACTTTATCAGTTGACCACTTTTTGATATCTTTCACAGGAAACGTGAAAAACTAGGTCCAAGTTGACAGTGTGGGATTCTCTTGGAGACCGGCTTCAATTACCCCAAAGCCTGTAATAGAAGGGCTCCCACACTGTTAAGTTTGAGCTAAATTATCTATCTAAATTGTAATTATCTAAATTGCCAGCTACTTTGCAAGATATCAAAAATATGACAACTTTTAAAATGTTGGCAATTTTATGGTAAACAGGAACCGAGATAAATTGAGTCAAAATGAACACCATTCCTTTGATCGCCGGATAACCGCCATACAAAATTAGCTCAAAAAAGAAAGTAAAAGAAAGGGGCCCTACTATTGTCTACGAAATGAAAACCAACCTCATTAACTTGCTGCTTCAATTTCCCAGCTTCATCATAGAACGGCTTCTTCTTATCCGCTGACATATTCGCCCATTCTGCACCCAACCGCTTACAAATTTCCGAACAATGAAGTCCCGGCTCACTGATCGCCAACTCGGCTCTTCGATTTTTGCAGAAAATCATAAAAGGATTCAGCGGGCGTTTCACATATTCATCTCGTTTTGGACTTTCCACTTCTCGTTGAGCCGTCCCAAATACTCGTTGAACAACCTCGGCTTCCCGTCGAGAGACCTCAATTCTATGTTGCTCCGCTTGCAAAGACCCATTTTCTCTTTGTCTTCTCAATTCTTGCTCCTTGGCATAATATGATTCTTTTATCTTAGCTGACGTTTGATGTCTCCACTCATTTTTCATTTTTGTCACAATTTCAAATGGAAGTCTATTCGGATAAATTCTCTCGTATCTCTCTTGATTATCCGCACGCCACAATCCAAATGCGAGAAGTGGTTGTTTTTTGGTTTTTTGAGGCGGTTCTTGGGATTCGGAGTGTTGGTCAGGTGTATTCGCTCGATCATTTGACATGTGACGCATTTTGGCTGGAAATATCCTTTGGGATAAATGGGATTCAGGGAGAAATATGAAAAAATAGGGAAAAATTAGAATTATAAGAACTAGTCCTCTAAATTGGTACCAAAATTAGCGAATTGTAATTTAAAAAAAAATGAAAAAAATTGAATAAAACCTAGAGAATTAAAAAAAGATTCCCCAAAAAATCGATGACTTTTTCTCATGAGCGATCATACTGTAGATCAAAAACGGTTTTTTTTGTTTTCAAAAATAATTGACATAGTTTTGATCTACCGTAACTATTCAAATAGAATATTTTGAGATTTTTAAATAAGTTGGAAAGTTCTGTCTACCGTAAACACTCTAATAGAATGCCAGCCATAAAATGTTGCTGACATCATGATAAACATTTTACTAGTTTACAAATTTTTGATATCTTTCAAAAGAAGTGAGATATATAGGCTCAAAGGGAACGGTCCGGGTGGCGTTCTATTAGAGTGTGTACGGTAATTTCAAGAGAAGAAGAAAATTAATTTTTATTTAGAAAATTCGTCAAAAAATGTTCAAACAAGAGTTAAAACCTTCTGAAAAAGAGCAGCAAGAATCAAATGGTCCATTTCTCTGGGATTCTTCAGAGCCACTGAACGAATATCAGATACTGTTCGAATCCGAGAGACGCAGCTTTTCTGAAAAAATCATATTGCTCGTTTCTATTCAAAAAAGCACCAAACTCACTCTCAACGCGTCCAATTTATATTTTCCAGCCATTTCCAGTTTGTCTTTCAACGATTTTGTCGATTTCTCCAAAAGATATTCTTCACATTTTTTGATGATAGTAGGGGTGTTGTACATATCAGCAATTGATAAGATTCCTTCTACAGTTTCTTCTGGAATATTCTCAGGATTATGGGTGGAGGGAGGTACAGTAACCCACCATCTGGTCCAGGTTCTCCGTAAAGGATTTCTAGGAAGAATTGGAAGTTTTGAGGATTTGAATTTGAAAGTTTGATTTCCGATTTTCCAGAATTTTCGGAGAAGAGATTAGCAAAGTAGGGGGATTGGGAAGAGAGGAACTGAAAACTTGAGATTATAAACTACAAACTACAAAAAAAACTAACCAATTTTGCAACATAGAACTTTTGTTCATCAATCACAAGAACAACATCTGAGAATTGTTTGTCTTCAAAACTTCTCGCATTTTTTCGACATTTTTCAATCTTTTGCTCCGAATCTCTTTTTTCGAATGTTGAAGATTTTTCAACAGCTTTTCCTGAAGGTACCACTCTTGTTTCTACAAAATGAACTCTTCTTGAATGTTCAACTTTTTTTGGTGTATCGATCTTCAATCCCTCAAAATACTTTTGAGTTCTTCTTACAGCTTCCGTCTCATATTCTCTTCCAATTTCCAGTTCTTTTGAAAACGTTTTTTGATTTCCAGAATTTTCCAAAATTTTCACACGAACTTCCAATTTTAAATTTCCTTTTGAATCCAAAAATCCGTCCATCACTTTATTCCATCCAGCAAAATCGATGTAATTCCAATAAAGAGTGATTCCAGACTTGAAAATTTTGTCGTTTTCAGATTTTGAAAGAATTTCTCCATTTTTTGAAAAAACTGTGAATTTGAGATCCGCGAAAAAATCCGGGCTCGATTCGCGAATTCCATTTCGATAAGCATACAAAGTGACACCCAAATGTTCAGATCGTTTGATTCCAACGTACCTGAAAGTTCAAAAATTTTGGAATTTCTTGAAAAATTATAAAAAACTCACCACTTCAAACCAAAATGCTCCTCATTTTTTCCCAGCTCCTCATCTCCATATTTCATATTTCGAACATTTTCGAAAATCTGGCTAATTATACATTCCTTCACCATACTTTTATTCTGAAAATAAAATTTTTAGAATATCAGACCTGGGAAAATTTAAAATGAATGGAGTAAACAATTTAGTGCTAGCAATGTGACCCGCATTTTTTTCACTGATAAGAAAACAAAAAGTATTATCAGTGGTCGAAAAAAGGAAGAAAAAAATCCCAGAAAGGGGGCAAGCATCGATTGACATAATTTTTTTTTGAATTTTTTTCGAAACTTCTCGATGTCTAAAAAAGAATTTGTGATCAAACAATTGTTCGAATCTTTTGATAACATTCCTGAAGACATTGGATATTATTGTGAAGATAAAGAGCATTTTGGTATCAAATGGTAAGTCTGTCGGTGTCTCTAAGTGTCCAGATGTCAGATTAGAACTTGAGGAATCAAGGTTAACTTTTTTTTTGAGTTTCTAAAAATATAGTTTTTCTCTGGAATTTTCCGAAAATTTCAAATGAGAAGAACATTTTTTTCGGTTACTGTATCCTCTGCATTTTTGAGTGTCCGGATGACAGCTCAAGGAATGAAAAGCTCCTGAATTTTTACAATTTCTAAAAACTTATTTTTTTCCGGAATTTTTCAAAACCTTCAGAATTCAAATTTTTGTTTTCTATAATATTTTTGAGAATTTTCCTATTTTTCAAGATCAAAAAATTAATTATGTCCCTTTGATGCTGAATTTGTAGGATTTTGATTTTTAACTAAATTGAGAAGAATATTTTCTGAAAAAAAGAATTTTTAAATTTTAACTTTTAAAGGTGGGGGGACATGAAAAAAAAATATGTTCTCGAAATTTCGTTCAAAGATGCCCCTCGAGGAGTTGAACTTGGGAGGGCGATGATTGAGGGTGCGGCGCCGCTACCGACTGAGCCACGCGGGCAAAGAGAAAGCGCACGCCCGATTGCATACATAAAGGCGAGGACGACAGCTGTACGCAGAGTGACATTAAGCGTTGTACACCGTGACGGTAGAATGCATACTATAGCTACAAAAAAACTACGAAAAATCTCCTGTCCCCCCACCTTTAAAGGATTTTTTGATTTTCGAGATCACTGTAATTTTTTTTTCATCTTGCGACTGGTTTTTTTAAACTGTAGTTTGATTTCTTTTTGACAATCGCCGGCGCTAGCGACCGTGTAGCCCAAAAGACAACCGTTTAGCTCAACCTGCCGAAAAGCTTCTACGGCAAACTTTATTTGAAAAATTGAAATCTCTTATTTCCAGGAGTATCCTGATCAAAAAACGACATGGACATTTTCAAGCATTCCTTGTGACCAATTTGACAAAATCTCAATCAATATCAGTGGAGTTTACTATCAGAATATTCTCGAAAAATCGAGAAACATGTCTCGAAAGATCTAATGCAAACGTTTTTGGGAATTTTAACAACGAACTACACAATGATTGGGGATGGAAAATGTTTTTGGATTGGGAAACTTTCGAGAAGAAATACTTGAACGATGGAAATTTGGATTTGGAGGTTGATGTGAAAATATTGAAGACTCAAGACAAGTTGGAGAAAAAAGTACATTTCGAGGAAAAATCGGGAACAGATTTGGAAATTGAGGAGGAGGAGCAAATAATAGTGGAGACTGAAAAAGAAACTGAAAATGTGGGAAATGAGAAAAAAATTCGTAGAAACTTTGAAGAGAAACAATTCTCGGATGTTGCTCTTGTGATTGGTGAACAAAAGTTTTATGTTTCAAAATTGGTGAGTTTTTTTTTGTAGTTTGTAGTTTATAATCTCAAGTTTTCAGTTCCTCTCTTCCCAATCCCCCTACTTTGCTAATCTCTTCTCCGAAAATTCTGGAAAATCGGAAATCAAACTTTCAAATTCAAATCCTCAAAACTTCCAATACTTCCTGGAACTCCTTTACGGAGAACCTGGACCAGATGGTGGGTTACTGTACCTCTCATCTCTACCGTAATCCTCAGAATTTTCCAGAAGAAACCGTTGAGGGAATCTTATCAATTGCTGATTTGTACAACACCCCTACTATCATCAAAAAATGTGAAGAATATCTTTTGGAGAAATCGACAAAATCGTTGAAAGACAAACTGGAAATGGCTGGAAAATATCAATTGGACGCGTTGAGAGTGAGTTTGGTGCTTTTTTGAATAGAAACGAGCAATATGATTTTTTCAGAAAAGCTGCGTCTCTCGGATTCGAACAGTATCTGATATTCGTTTAGTGGCTCTGAAGAATCCTAGAGAAATGGACCATTTGATTCTTGCTGCTCTTTTTCAGAAGGTTTTAACTCTTGTTTGAACATTTTTCTTTCTATCCAATGACCCAACCAATTCCTGTTTTCTAATTCTCCTCGTGATTTTTCCCCTTTTTTTTCCTGATAATGCATTTTTCTTATCAGTAAATTTGGTTTCCATTGTTTACCGCACTTCATTCTTCTTCGATAAAATTTACCTGAACCAAAATATTTTCAATTGAAAAAGATGAGACAGCAAAAAATTTGAGGGTTTGAGCTTTTGCTTACCTTATTCGCACTTTAAGCTCCTTTATCTCAGTTCCTATAAGAGATATCAAAAATCTGTCAACTGATAATATATTGGTGAGATTACGATAACAAAATTATCAACTAAAAGTTTTTTGATATCTCCTATAGGAACCGAGATAACTGAGCTTATAAGGAAACTAAACAAAGACCGTAACCACTCTTTACATATACGTTGGGCTAAATTATCTCGATTCCTATAAGAGATATTAAAAATCTGTAAAAATAGGTGATATTATGATGTATAATTTATCAGTTGAACATTTTCTGATAAAAATTTTCTAATATTATCTTTGACAGGAACCGAGATAATTGAGCTTATAACTTGATTAATTTTTATCTGAACATTCCAGAATTTTCCCATTCCAGGTACGTGGGTCTTCAAAGAAGTCGTTATCTGAAGCTCTTTCTCTGTGTGATACCTCCACATAAAACTGGCCATGAACTTCAAGCTGAATTCGAATACATTATTACTTTGACTGCGGAAAAGTGTTATCAACATCTGGAAAAATGCGAATTTTCAAAACTGGACAATGTGAATTCGAAGGACATCCGGAAAAGATCGCTTGGGAAAGAATAATCAATGATTATCTAGATGATAATGGAAATTTGGAAGTGAATGTTCGTGTGAAAATATTAGGAATGAATGAAGAGAAAAGTAGAAAAGTTTTGAGAAGTTTTGAAGACAAACAATTCTCAGATGTTGCTCTTGTGATTGATGAACAGAAGTTTCATGTTTCAAAATTGGTTAGTTTTTTTTGTAGTTTGTAGTTTATAATCTCAAGTTTTCAGTTCCTCTCTTCCCAATCCCCCTACTTTGCTAATCTCTTCTCCAGAAATTCTGGAAAATCGGAAATCAAACTTTCTACTTCAAATCCTCAAAACTTACAATTCTTCCTGGAACTCCTTTACGGAGAACCTGGACCAGATGGTGGGTTACTATACCTCTTCTCTAACTTAACTCTCAGAATATTCCAGAAGAAACTGTTGAGGGAATCTTATCAATTGCTGATATGTACAACACCCCCACTATCATCAAAAAATGTGAAGAATATCTTTTGGAGAAATCATATAAGCCACTGAAAGAAAAATTGCAAATGGCTGGAAAATACAAATTGGAAGAGTTGAGAGTGAGTTTGAAAGTTGGTTCTTATTATAGAAATGAATTTTCAGAAAAGGTGTATGACTAGAATTCAATCAGTCTCTGATGTCAAAAGTGTGGCTGTAGAGGATCCAGTTGAAATGGATCACGATCTTCTTGCGGATCTGTTCCAGAAGATTTTATCATTAGTATAACCTATTTTACAAATTAAAAAAATTCCATTGTTTTGGAAAATGTCTCAGAAATATTTTATTTTAATCCAATAAAATTATATGAACAGTTTTGAATACAAATATTCATTAAAGGTGGGGGGACAGGAGATTTTTCGTAGTTTTTTTGTAGCTAGAGTATGCATTCTACCGTCACGGTGAACAACGCTTAATGTCACTCTGCGTACAGCTGTCGTCCTCGCCTTTATGTATGCAATCGGGCGTGCGCTTCCTCTTTGCCCGCGTGGCTCAGTCGGTAGCGGCGCCGCACCCTCAATCATCGCCCTCACAAGTTCAACTCCTCGAGAGAAATCTTTGAACGGAATTTCGAGAACATTATTTTTTTCATGTCCCCCCCCCCCCCCCCCATCTTTAAAGCACAAAACGAATAAAGAAGAATCTGACACGACTTTTAAAACCAGATGGAATTACATGAGATCATTCTACAGTGCACCACAAAACAATGCTTTCACTCTGAAAAGGTTAGAATTTGGAGGTTTTCAAGGTCCGCGAAATCTTTTTGAATGTCTGAATTCGATTTGTCCTGGCCCTTATTTGCCAGTATAGACAAATTACCAGCTCAGAAAAGTTGTAAAACCTCAGAAACCTCTATTTTGGATGAATAGTCACATATTACTATGTTCTTATCTATGAATAAAATCTAATCTATTTTTGAGATTAAAAATATTTTTAAACACCGAAAAAAAGCGGAGAAATGTATTCCAAAAATTAGATACTCTATTCCCTTCTACAGTCCTACTCCAACAACTGTAAGCCTAATATATTTCCTTCAATTCTGAAACGATGTTTCTTCAGAAAAAAAAACTAGACATGAGTCAACCACAACAATGCGGGAGAAACATGTACATATAAAAAACATGATGAGAAGGGACAGGAAAAAATTGAAAATTTCAATTGGCGCTTTCAATGCTATGCCGCCAGAAGCTAAAGAAAAATATAGAGAACACTGCAAAGAAGCATTTGAATCCTGCGGGTCAGACATATGAAAAACAAAATAATGCTTGAGTTTTCAGATGCCGAAAGTGATTCATACAATAATGGAGAAACCGATAGAGTACGCTATTCTGCTTGCTGTAACATGCTCAATTTTTGTGGGGGTATGTCGGTATGTTTTGAATTTCTCCATAATCGGAGCAGTCTGAACTTCACGTATCATCATTTTCCAGGGCTGGGTTATCTTTTTGATCATTCTGATTGCGATTGGATGTCTTGCTGCTGCTGGAGCAGCTTTTTGGTTCTTCTACTGGAAAAGAAAGACGGGTGGTCGTGATGGAGAAGAGAAAAAAAAGTCGAATCGGGAGAGGATTCAACCAAAAGTGGATATGATGTTTCTGTGGATACTTATTGAGCTGATTTATAACAATTAATTTAATTTTTTTATTGATCAGGTGTAATAAAACATTAGAGGGCAAGACATGAAAGACTCAGAAAAATGCCCCTCACGAGGCCGATCTGAGTAGCGGAGGGAAAACGGGATAATTTAGATATTTGACACAGGAAAGATGTAACCGGTAGAAAAAGAAAAATAGGGAGCAAATATATCAATAACGGGTAATACTGGAAGAAATTAAGGATTCAAACTCGGAAGGTAGGAGAAATCGGGTAACTTGGGAAGTGATGGCGTTCCACAGGGGAACAATTGAAGAAAAATAGTCAGAGGAGTAGGGCTGAACAATAATTAAGTTCATAGGGCGACGAGGGAAGGAGAGGTATTTGACATGTGCATTTAGGTTAGGAAAGTAGGCGGAGCCATTTAAAAATTTATAGAGAAGAATTAGTTGAGCTTTTAGCCTACGATGTCGAATGGAGAACATATTGAGGATATTGAGAATAGGAACTGTACTGGATATTACAACGCTGGAAAATACACTTAGAGAAAAATCTTAAGGGAGATTCTAGTTTTAGAGCAAGGCGAGAAGAAGGCGGAGGGGAATAAACTACAGAACAATATTCAAGAATCGGGAGAACATAGCATTTGAAAAGATGAATGTAGAATTCTGGAGACTTAGATCTAAATGACTTTAAGAGTTGTTTGGAACGGAGAAGAGCTAGAGATGTGATTTTGTTGATGTGAGCAGAGAATTTGAGAGAGGAATCAGTAATGAGTCCCAAGTCCCGGACGGAGGAGGAGGGAGTAAGTGTGACACCCGCAATATTGGGAGGATGGGAAGAATTATGGGAACCTAGGCGAAGAAGGGCAGAGTGGGCAAGAGGGAGATGGTTGGCGGAAGCCCAATTTACAACCATGTTGATACCAGTTTGAAGGGCGATTGGGTCATGAGAATACAGTTTGATATCATCAGCAAAGGCGGCAAGGTGAAGTGTCAATTCATCGAGTACTGTTAGAGAGATAATACGTCGGCGTCCAATTTTCGAGTCTGATACCGAAGAGGAGAGTGAGGATGAAGAAGGAGCTGTTGATGCGAATTGATTATTCATGATGCTGTCTTCTCAAGTGTTGGATCCTCTCTTTCCCTTCTCATATTATAACATTCTTTCCTTTTACTTTTCCTCTGACGCCTTTTTATTGTTATGTCTTCATCGCGGTTATACTACTTATATATTAGGTTGGCAGGAAAGTAACTGCCCCTTGTTTTATTTGTGAATAATACAAAAGCAGGATTAATCCAAGATTAGCAGTATGCACCGTCGGGGTCCACGACATGGCAATGTTCAGATAACTTGTGGATACAATACCTTCAAAAGCCAGCTAGCCGCGAATCAAAGTATTCTTTTTTTTTTCGGTTTTTCACATAAATGGTGCAAATTTTCGTATTCTCTAGATGAGGTTGTATCTCTCCGAATATCCAATAATCTGATAGAGCTCAGTCCCCTCTCTTCACCTTGCCGCCTTTGCTGATGATATCAAATTGTATTCTCATGACCCAATCGCCCTTCAANCTGGTATCAACCATGGTTGTAAATAATTCAAGAAAGATGAGAACACAGAAACGTATGATTCATCTACAGAAGATCCAAAAATTCTAGTATACAGTAAATCCAATGACACCCAAAGACAAATAGATAATCTTCTGTTGCAATCAAACAAAAGATATAACATCGTATCAAGTGATACAGGAGTGACTTGATCTAAAGATAGAACACTAATCAAAGAGTTGAAGAAAAATAATACTGTGACTTTGAGGTTGAAACGAATAATAGGTGCAGAGGATTATCAGCCCAGTGTCTACAGCATGGTGGTAAACGGAGCAGAAACTAGAAAAAGATGCTACAGTACATTAAGTACAATTGGATACAACTATCAGAGTACGAATTTTGCTAGGAGTAAAGATCAGAGAATTATATAAAATTAGAATTAGAATCGGAAAAAAAAAACTTCTTGAAGTTGAAAGGAGAAAGGGAGAAAGAATAGCCATGATTATTGGCACTACTGGAAGCTATGGAACACTTCAGATTGCGGCAAATGTGGAATTCACATGAGCATAGTATGTAATAAAGAGTGGAGACA